AGCCATCTTAATGAGTGTGAAGTGGTATTCTCTCTTTTTTTTTTTTGAAGTGGTATTCTCATTGTGGTTTCTATTTTATTTTGTTGAATTCATTTAAAGATTATTTGAGAGATAGAGCAGGGCAGGGAGGTGCAGAGGGAGAGAATCTCAAGCAGACTCCTTTTTGTTTATTTTAAGATTTTATTTATTTATTCATGAGAGACATAGAGAGAGAGAGGCAGAGACATAGGCAGAGGGAGAAGCAGGCTTCCTGCAAGAAACCCAATGTGGGACTCGATCCCGGACCCCGAGATCACACCCTGAGCTGAAGGCAGACGCTCAACTGCTGAGCCACCCTGGTGTCCCTCTAGCAGACTCCTTGATGAACGTGGAGCCCAAAACAGGACTCAATCCCAGGGCTTGATCCCATGATCCTGAGATCATGACCTGAGCCAAAATCAAGAGTCTGATGCTTAACTGACTGAACCACCCAGATGCCCCTCTGTTTTATTTTAAATTACTGAAAAATTTAAATATACAAGAATGATTTTTTATTATATGGTTTTTGTTTTGAAATTTTATGTAAATGGTGTCAGTATACTATTGTAACCTGCTTTTTTTAATCCAACATTAGATTTTTGTGATTTAGCAATGTTGATACATATAGATTTATTTCATTGTTTTTAACTGCTTTATAGTATTTCATTGGATGAATAAAATTGTATACTCTATTCCCACATAGAGGTGATTAGATCATTTGTAGTTATCCCCTGTTACATAGAAGGAATACAGGATTGGTCACTTCTGAGCATGAAGGAAAAGATCTCTACCACTGGCATGTGCATCTTCTTTAGAAGGCTTACAAACTTTAGAAGTTTTCACGTATTTTTTTCCTTAGATGGTTGTACCATTTACACATATCAGCAAAGGAGTTTCCATTTCCTTATACCCACATCCACACTTGGTTTATCAGATCTTAATTTTTGTCCATCCCATAGATGCCCAATGAGATCTCATGATTGTAATTTCCATAACAATCTCATCACATTACAAGGGAGGTTGATTTGATTTGTTGTGGTTGTTAGAGTCTTCAGAATTGCCTGTTCATATCTTTTGTCCATTTTCCTATTAGGCTATTTCTTTTAAACATAAGATATCTACGAATTTTTTTCTTGGTTGTATGGGTCACCAATATTGTCACTTGCTCTATGGCTTGTCTTTATATTTTGCATACAGGGTCTTTTGAGATAGAGAAGATCTTTATGCAGATAGTTATTCTTTCCCTTTCTGTTTTTTTTGTTTGTTTGTTTGCTTTGTTTTTTAAACCTTTTTTTAAAGATTTTATTTATTTATTCATGATAGACACAGAGAGAGAGAGAGACAGAGACACAGGCAGAGGGAGAAGCAGGCTCCATGCACCGGGAGCCCCACGTGGGACTCGATCCTGGGTCTCCAGGATCGCGCCCTGGGCCAAAGGTAGGCGCCAAACCCCTGCGCCACCCAGGGATCCCTCCCTTTCTGTTTTTTATGTTTTATACCTTGTTAAAGAAATCATCCCCTTTCCCAGTATCATAAATCTGTCCTTTTATGGTTTTTTTTTTTCAAATGCCCCATAGTCATTTTGCTTGTTCCTTGTGTTGTGTACTGACTTGTTACGATTTCAAATCCACGATTTGAAAACTAGTTTGGACAAAGTTGTTTGTGGTTCGAACTTGTTTTCATGAAATTGTTTTGAAGTTGGATATTAGAACATTCTTATCGAACTCTAGCACCTGGAGTGGAGAGGACCAGTACGTCATCGACACCATGTAACAGCTTGCTGTGGGGCCCATCACATGGTGGACTATTAAACTTTAAAAACCTCATGGGGCACCTGAGTGGCTCAGTGGTTGAGTGTCTGCCTTTGGCTCTGGTCGGATCCTGGGGTCCTGGGATCAAGTCCCTCATCAGGCTCCTCACAGGAAGCTTGCTTCTCCCTCTGCCTATGTCTCTGCTTTTTTCTCTGTGTCTCTCATGAATAAATAAATAGAATCTTTTTAAAAATTTAATTAATTAAAAAAGAAATAAAAACCATGAGGTATGACCAGCCACTCAAAAGTATTTGGCCTGGATAGGGCTACTCTTTGCTGATATAAATAGTTCTCTGGAGATCTTGAGACACTTATTCTTGCTGTGGCCAGGCTCCCTTGGTCAGCAGTGGTGTTAAAACACATAGCAGACTCAGAAAGAGAAGGGACACTGCTTCTGCCTTAGTGAGGCTACTTCTCCTAGGCAGTGATGGTGCAAGCTGCGTAGCAGCTGCTGCAGTAATAATCTTCAGAGCAGCTAGTTGCCTGCCAACACTGGCACTGTCTTCCACTAGCTACGTGCCCCAGCAGTGAGTGACCTACCGAAGCAGGCAGCTGATACCCAGATTTTATTTATTATTTATTTTTTAAAAAGATTTTATTTATTTATTCATGAGATACAGACAGAGGGAGAGAGAGAGAGAGAGGCAGAGACACAGGCAGAGGGAGAAGCAGGCTCCATGCAGGGAGCCCGACATGGGACTCGATCCTGGGACTCCAGGATCACGACCCTGGCCGAAGGCGGCGCTAAACTGCTGAGCCACCCGGGCTGCCCTGATACCCAGATTTTAGTTGGAAGGACTGACAGTATCAAGAACCAACTCAGAAAGATATATCTCAACTAATATTGGACTTTATTTCTTTCATCTTCCCTTTGCCTGAGCAATAATGTAATTAATCTCTCATTGGTTTGGAATATGTTATTTCTTTTTTGGTGTATTAAGAGACATTATCTTGTATGCTATTGGCTTGTGAAATATTATCATTATAAATTATAATTCTTACAGTGAACCTGTGTTAAAGAAATGATTGGCAAAGACAAACTCAGTCTCTGAGCATAATTTGTCCTGAGCAAAACACCCTGTAGTTCTTTAGTTCTTCTGGAACTTATTTGGAGGCCTACTGTAACATAGAGATCCACTTTATCTTTTCCATATGGATGACCAATGGTCCCCAAGCCAACTGCTGAAGAGTGGGTGCAGTCTCCCCACCCCTAGAACATTCTAGTCTCCACTCTGATGTGGGCTGGCTTCTAGCTGCTCTTCTGCCCTATTGGGCTGTTTGTCCCTGTCTGGTGAGCTTTCTCTGGGAGCTAGTGCAGAGGCACTGGCAAAGACACCACTGCCAGGAATCATGCTCAGACAAAGTTTTTTGTTTTCTTTTCTCTCTCACTTTCTCTTTTTTTATGAGAACTTGGCCACTTTCCAGCCCTGGCCGCCAAGAATCCTCTGGGCTTCTTTAGAAAACTCTGGCTTGCCCCATGCCTGTCCCCTCTGAGGCCTCTGCTCTGTTTCCCTCCCCTCACCCCACTCCAGCCTCCCAGCCCACTTCCTCTACTTGGGCCAGGCTGCTGGGGGTGTCCCCCAGAAGGACGGGCAGCCTCACCCTTTCAGGAAGGGTCTGAGTGCTCCCTTGGAAGTCTGAGCTCCTCCTTGGGGCTCCCTTCCCCTGACAGAACTGCTCCTAAGGGCTGACTGTCTTCAGAGGCTCTGCTAGGCTCCACTCTAAGTGCCCAGGTGAAGAGGAAGGCTCTCATCTCTAAGATGAGAGTAAACTTGCCAAGCCTGCCCTCCTTCTGAGTCTGGAACAGCTGTCTGTTCCTTTAAAATAATACGCTGTAAGCAGTTTATGAACACTTGTGAGATGAGGGAGTTTAATTTCAACCTTTTCTTATGATTAGTAACAGTGCCTTGCTCCTCCTTCTAGCTTCTCTAAAGTGGGAGAACTTCCTTCAAATCCTAGTTTATAGGCAAACAGGTTAGAACGTGTGACTTGATCTGAGTTGGAGAAATTGTAAGGTGGGTTTTCTCGAAGAAGTCATCTCTGACCAGCCAGAGGCTCCTCCTCACCCTTGGAAATGGGTTGGAGACACACCTACATAGAGAACTGAATGTAAATACTCCCAGTTATCAGTGGATTATACTTTCCATTTCTGCTGAGAACTGACCCATCCATGTTGATTCAATGAGATAACACATGAGCATCTAGCATAGTGCCAGACTCATAGAAAACATTCAACATACACCAGCCACTGTTGTGATTATCCCTACACAGTCAAACCTGAGGTAAAACTAGGCTGTTGCTACAGATGAAAGATCTTATTCAGGGTAAAAGCAAAATGAGTGGTGGCTTTGAATAAATTTCAAAAAATTAAAACCTAATTATTTATCACAGTCCTACAGATTCCGTTTCAGATCTCACTTCTATTGAGATTGAGCAAAAGGGCCAGCTTCATGGTCTTTCTCATGGGTTTCAGATCCAGAATCTCAAGGTCATCATCACCCATGGCTTGATTATTGAGCGCTGAGTTCAGTTTGCTTGGCTCCATGTTCTCTGATCCAGGCTATGATAATATAGTGGGATGTGGCATTCCTTTGTCTGAGGCTTTGGCTTGCCTCTGATAATAAATGCAGTATTTGTAAACTAACAAGTTTGTTATATGTCCTAAGCCTCTATTTGAGATTCGAGGTTGGGTAAAACATTATTTTGGTTGTATCTTCATTTCTGGCCTTTCTTGGACACTTGGCCTACAGGAGCACAGGTGTGTTGGGGGAGGTAAAGAGGCAGAGGTATGAGGTGTGGAAAGGTGCGATATGAGGTGTTAGGGGTTGGGGGGAAGAAAGCTAGTTAGAGCAGCTTCAGTTTATGAGACAGGGATCCTTTTTTTTTTTTTTTTTTTTGAGACTGGGATCCTATGACCCCAGGGGGTTTAGCCTTTTTTTTAAATTAAATTAAATTTTATTTATTTATTTGACACAGAGAGTACACAAGCAGGGGTAGCAGTAGGAAGAGGGAGAAGCAGACTCCCCACTGAGCAGGGAGCCTGATGCATGGCTGGACCCAGGACTCTGGGATCATGACCTGAGCCCAAGGCAGATGCTTAATCAACTGAGCCACCCAGGCACCCCTGGGGTAGAGTTTCTTAATAAAAAAGAAAAAAGGGGGAAGCTTTGCAGTTCATGCCGGGCTGGAGTTACTCCCATCAGGAGGGACGGACTATAGCTGGGTCAGCTGCGAGCAGCCTGCAGCATTGGCTTGTGGTCGCAATGAGTTTGCCTCTCAATCCAAAACCTTTTCTGAATGGATTAACAGGAAAGCCAGTAACGGTGAAACTGAAGTGGGGAATGGAGTACAAAGGCTACCTTGTGTCTGTAGATGGCTATATGAACATGCAGCTTGCAAACACAGAAGAATACATAGATGGAGCTTTGTCTGGACATTTGGGTGAAGTTTTAATAAGGTGTCATAATGTCCTTTATATCAGGGGTGTTGAAGAAGAGTAAGAAGATGGGGAAGTGAGAGAATAGCATCTTTTGTGGGGAATGTTTTTTATATATATTTCTAGTGTTGATGAGGGTTTTGAGAAGTGAGGGCTTTTATACAGTATTTTTATACACCACGGAAGGAAGTTTAAATGAATACATTCTGAGGGATAAACTGGCAGTTCTCTGGATATGTAAAATCACATAACCTTTGACCAAGCAATTCTGCTTCCAGGAATCACCTGGGTCCCTGATAACTAGCGACATGTGTTATGCACCAAGATGTATGTATAGGGATGTGTGCTGCAGCAGTGTTTATAATGCTGAAAAGCAACCTTGCTGTCCATGTGTCCATCCATAGGGGTGTGTTCAAATAAACTTACATTATCCCTGTTAAGGAACACGAAGGAGCCATTTTTAATAATATAAGGTAGAGGCGTCTATCATCAGGATGAAAGGTGGCCAACACATTGTAGGTGACAAAAATCAGTTTGTCAAAAAACAAAAGTATTTTTAAGTGCACATGGAGGAAAAAAGGTGATGAGTGTGTGTGCACATGTGTTGAGGGGGGCTGATGGTGTGGAAGAAGCAGTACATGTGCAGGCTGGATGTGAGAGATGGCATGTTGAATTTAGGGTGAAGGAGGAAAGTATCAGATAGTGAACTGGAGAAGTCAGCCAACACCCAACCTGGATGTGCCTTGCAAAACAGGAAGTTGCTGAAGGTTGCTGAACTGGACTGGAGAAAGATCCCTCTAGCATCAATGACACAGGTACGGAGGAGTAAAGCAAGGGACAAGGTTACCAGTCAGGCCTGAAATGAGCAGGGCCCTGTCCAAGTTTGGAGAGGAGGAGACCAGGGATGCCTGGGTGGCTCAGTGGTTGAGCGCCTCCCTTCTGCCTGGGGCATGTTCCTGGAGACCCAGGATTGAGTCCCACATCAGGCTCCCTGCATGGGGCCTGCTTCTCCCTCTGCCTGTGTCTCTGCCTCTCTCTCTCTCTCTCGAACAAATAAATAAAATCTTAAAGAGAGAGAGAGAGAAGGGGACCGATTCAAGAGACACTGAGGGGGGAGGATCTCTAGGAGTTTCAAGATGACTGATTATGTAATGGGGGTAAGGGAGAAGAAGGAGTGTGAGCGGACAGGTCTCAATCATTGGGTGATTACTGAGACCCAGAGAAGTCAGGAGGAGTGTGGATACAGGTTGAGTTTGAGAGGCCTGGGAAATATCCAGATGGAGCTAGGGGACCGTAGGTGGCAGAATTCTCAGGCCTAGAACTAAAGGGCAAGCTCTAAGATGGAGAGTGAGCTGTACCTAAGTGGCAGTTAAGGCCATAGGTGTGAATAGGGTCACTCAGAGAAAATTCGTGGAATGGGATGGTCCTAGGCTGGAAGAGGACTGGAATAGAACCTAATAGAATAGAAAGCATGCATTGCAAAGACAAAATGAAGGAGCAATCAAAAGCAGAAGAAAAACCAGTGTGTATCAGTGAGGTTGGGTTGCCTACTCACTTCTGGCAGAGCCCTAATTTTGTTCTGCATTCCACCCTTCTTCCAAGTGGTTTGGCAATAAATCCTGATTAATCCAAGCCAATTATGGTCATCACAGTTTCCTTGCCAAGGACTAATTTAGGAAGGGACATATGATGGAATTCAGGTCAATGGGAATGTGAGGAAAGGCTCTTGGGGGCTCCTGGGAAAGGTCTCTTCCCTGATTAGAAAAAGACATACAGGAAGAGACACACTCTGTTCTTTAGCTGCGTGTTGTCATGTCTGAATATGGCACCTGGAACTGCTACAGTTGGTTTTTAATGTGTAGAGGAGGGCATCTTTTTTTTTATAAATTTTTATTTATTTATGATAGTCAGAGAGAGAGAGAGAGAGAGAGAGAGAGAGAGAGAGGCAGAGACACAGGCAGAGGGAGAAGCAGGCTCCATGCACCGGGAGCCCGATGTGGGATTCGATCCCGGGTCTCCAGGATCGCGCCCTGGGCCAAAGGCAGGCGCCAAACCGCTGTGCCACCCAGGGATCCCTAGAGGAGGGCATCTTGAGGATAAGCCATCGTATTGAGGGTGCTAGAGCAGAAAGATGAAAGGCACCTGGGTCCCAGATGACATTACTAAGCCATGAAATTAATCAATCCTGGAGCAGCACCATAGCTGGACTTCTTAAAATGTAGGATTTATTTTAGGGCACCTGGGTGGCTCAGCCAGTTAAACATCAGATTCTTGATTTCAGCTCAGGTCATAATCTCAGCGTCGTGAGGTGAAGCCCCACATGGAACCCTCATGGAGCCCTCATGGAGCCCCACATTGGGCTCCATACTCAGCACAAAATCTGCTTGGGATTCTTTTCCTCTTCCTCTCCCTCCCTTCTCCTTATCTTCTCCCTCTCCCTCTGCTCCTCCTCCTGCTAACAGGAACATGCTCTCTCTCTTTCTAAAATAAATAAATAGGGGATCCCTGGGTGGCACAGCGGTTTGGCGCCTGCCTTTGGCCCAGGGCGCGATCCTGGAGACCCGGGATCGAATCCCACGTCGGGCTCCCGGTGCATGGAGCCTGCTTCTCCCTCTGCCTGTGTCTCTGCCTCTCTCTCTCTCTCTCTGTGTGACTATCATAAATAAATAAAAATTTAAAAAATAAAAATAAAAAAATAAAATTAAATAAATAAATTGATTAATTTTAATGTAGGATATATTTTTCCTTATGGTTTAAACTATTTATAAAATCTTAAAAAAAAAAAAGAAAAAAAGGATACCAAGAATAAAAGAAAGGGGTAGGCAGCCTGGGTGGCTCAGCAGTTTAGCACTGCCTTCAGTCCAGGGCCTGATCCTAGAGACCTGGGATCGAGTCCCACGTCAGGCTCCCTGCATGAAGCCTGCTTCTCCCTCTGCCTGTCTCTCTCTCTCTCTCTTTCTCTCTCTGTCACTCATGAATAAATAAAAAAAAATATTTTAAAACAATAAAATAAAAATAAAAAATAAAAGAAAGGGGCATATGTATCACTCACAAATTTTAAAAATATATTGTAACAACTGTATTTCACTGTAATTGGTGTCCATGGTAGTTTTGTGTATATTGCATGCATTCAAATACATCATCCACCAGGCAGCCAAAGGCACCCACAGTGTGAAAAAGGCTAGGAGCTCTGGCTGCAAAGGCAAAGAGAGAAGGGGAAGTTGGTACAGTGGAGATGGAAATGTGGGGGTCCTGAGTACCCTGCTTTTTTGAACATGGGAGAGGTTTCCATGTGGCAATACTGCAGGCACAGAGAAGGGACTCTGAGAGCCAAGGTCCCTGAGGAGGCTGGAGCTATTGGGATGCAGGGCTCAGGTGGAGGGATTAACCACAGGAAGGAAACTTTTCCCACAATAAAAGGGAGGAAAGGATGAGTGTAGATAAAAATAAGTGTTTTGGTGGGGTGGCAGTAGGGGGCAGGAAGTTGAGGGGGCTTCTATTTTCACTGTCAAGTAGGAGTAAAGTTATCTGCTGAGAGTGAGAATGATGGGAGACGATAAGGTAGGGAGCAGAAGAGGGCTGACAAGGACAGGGAGAGGGACCACTGGCCCCCCACCAGGTTGTCATGGCAACTGTGGGTGTGGTGTTCAGCTGCTCAAGTGTAGGAGTCAGAGGGCAGACAGTCAGCTAGAGCCGGGGCTGGGGTTTTACCAGGGGGTTGAGGTGAAGATCAGGGGAAGACAGGAGGGACCTCCTTGTCCAGCAGCTGCTCGGACAAGCAGGTTAAGCAAGAAGGGGCGGCTAGCTTGGGATAAAATCAACATTAGGAGGAAGAATGGGACAAAGGAAAGGCAAAAGTGGGGATGCAGGAAGTGGTAGTATAAGAGGGAGCCCATCAAGTTGAAGGTTAAGGACACCTGGGTGGTTCAGTGGTTGGTTGTCTGCCTTCAGCTCAGGCGTGATCCTGGGTCCTGGGACCAAGTCCTGCATTGGGTTCCCCACAGGGAGCCTGCTTCTCCCTCTGCCTGTGTCTCTGCCTCTCTCTGTGTGTGTCTCTCATGAATAAATAAATAAAATCTTAAAAAATAAAAGTTTACGGTTAAGTAGTTCACAGGATGGCAAGTGCTGAAGTCTGTCCATTGCATGAGTGACAAGGAGAGCAGTAAAGGGCATTAGAGCTGAGGACGTCAACTCCAGTCGGGGCCATCCAGATGGATGTAGAAGTCACCTAGTAGGAAAGTGAAGTTTAGAGTGGAAGGTCTAGTGGAAGAGTGATTTGGAAATAGGTACATCATTGGAACAAGTGGTAGAAGAGTCTAATGGTGGTGAATAGTGTGTGCCTCAAGGGAGGAGGAGGGCTTTTACAGGAAAGTAAAATAGTAATCGTCTAAAAGCAGCAATAAGGAGGGATGCCTGGATGGCTCAGTGGTTGAGTGTCTGCCGTTGGCTCAGGCATGATCCTGGATCCCAGGATTGAGTCCCATATCAAGCTCTCTGCGGGAAGCCTGCTTCTCCCTCTGCCTCTGTCTCTGTGTCTCTCATAAATAAATAAATCTTAAAAAAAAATAAAAGTAGCAATAAGGAGATAAGAGAATACCTGTCCACCATGAGGTGGAGAATGGGGAGACATGCTCCTGCTGTGTAGCCAGGGCTTTAAAAAATAATGAGCTTTTATTAAAGAGGCTGGGGGTGGGGGGAAATCCCTGGGTGGCTCAGAGGTTTAGCGCCTGCCTTTGGCCCAGGGCGTGATCCTAGAGTCCCAGGATCGAGTCCCATATCGGGCTCCCTGCGTGGAGCCTGCTTCCCCCTCTGTCTGTCTGTCTCTCTCTCATGAAAAAATAAATAAAATCTTAAAATAAATAAATAAAGAGGCTGGAGAGAATCAGACAGTTGTGCCCAGACCTGATCTAAGACAGTGGCTTCCAATCCCGCAAGATAGTCCCCTCCCATGCCCAACCCCAACTGAGAGGCATTGGCGAACCAGCAAAGGCCTATTTGACTTCATGATAGTGGGGGTGGGGGATCCTGGCATTTGGTACCCAGAGATCAGAGATGCTCAATGTCCTGCAGTGTGCAGGAGAGGAACTGTTTGCCTAGGATGCCCATAGCGCAGTGAGGAACTGTTCTGCCCAAGATGCCCATAGCGAATCCCATCACACACTTTATGGAGGAGGAGGATAGGATTCAGAGAGCTGAGATAAGTATTTAGGTCTTGGAGCTTCTGTAGTCTTGATATTATATTAAGTTCTATGTGTATGTCTGAGGTCACTGTGGTAATTAACGTTGGCTGGCAAATCCAACCCCCTCTCCCTTGTCACATCTCAATGATGGACCTA